GAGTTCAGACGTGTGCTCTTCCGATCTCCCCAAAACCCCAAAACCCCAAAACCCCGAATGAGGAATTTAATTGTATATTGGGTGAATATGTTTGTTATAAATTTAAATTTAAATGCAGTAGCAATATTCGCAATAAGAAAGTGGCACTTTAGCCTTTTCTTAATCATCTGATACCTCTCCTTCGAATATATTAGAATAAACCCCTAATAAGACTTGTAGAACTGATGTCTCAAGGCAATAAGATTTGAATAGCGGAGGAAATTTTACTTATAACTCAGATGTAAAGCGATTGCAAGAAAGTGATCTCGTGAATGTCGAAGGCGGAATGTACTCTGATTATAAACTCACCAGTCACAAAAAGATATCAAATTAGGTAAGTATAATTACTATAGTTTTAATACTAAGGGTAATTTTGATTATAGGGAAGAAAAATGGAAAAAATACTTGATGATACTCCGCAAGTGCTGATAGAGGAACTAAATCATCACTCAAGAGAGCAATACGATTTGAAACAAGTCAGTCAGCAGTAGAAAATAGAAGCATTTAATATTGATAAGCTTTAAGAGTCTCAAAAGAAACTACAAAACTATCAGTCTAAGAAAATAGAGGATGAGGAGGATATGTTGAAGATCAATTACGATAGTATATTTACTGATAGGACAAACCGTGATGAAAATATGGTTTCTTCACCATCGAGTTAAGTAAGCAGCAGTAATCTTCTGCACCAAAGGAAAATATCAATGATCTCATCCAGCAAAAAGTCAATGTATAAGAGGAATAACTTGCACATCAGCGATTTAGCAACCAGTCAATTATAGTCAATGGGGTAAGATAGTGTGAACAAGTCAGATAAATTAATTGAAGAACTAGATAAACAAAAGTTGGAAAACGAGTAACTTGCAAAATAAAATATATTACTACTGTAATAAATGCGAGAAATTATGATATCTAATAATTCTAGTAATGCAAGCAATAGCACAGCTAAATTTGAGACATAGAACAATACGAACTTGGAAAATAGAGTCAGCAATACTCAATACTAGAACTTATAATCATGCTTGATAAATTAGAATGAGATTAACGAGAATCATAATTAAAAGCAAGAGGAAGAGTTCAGCATGAAAAAGGTACAAATATATACAGACGACTATGAGGAATACGAAAATGAGTAACTAAGAATAGGGTAAATGTCAAACAACTAAAATGATGGAAGTAAGAGAGATAAGAGCTAATTTGGTTTTTGAAGAACATCTTATGTATAGGAAGGTCTCAAGGAGTAAGAGGCCTTCAAGAAAACTTTTACTAGAAATAACAGTCATAAAATAGCAGTTACTGTTACACCATCCTCCTCTTAGCCAAATTTAAAATAAAACTTTACTGAAAATAAAGCTTCACAATTTCAAGTGAAAACTATAACTCATACAAGAAAATAATCAGCAGAGGGAACAAATTTTACCTTCTGCAATACTTGCAATCATCAATGCTAGTGCTAGAACGAGTTACAGCAATAATAAAAATAAGATAATAACCTGCAGAGTCAGCATAGAGAGGCCAACACAACAAGCGATTAAAGCTCAAACATAAGTAAAAAATTCGTGAGTCTTAAGAAAATGGCTTTTTCTCCTCCTAAATAGCTTTAGAATATTCAAATTGATACCAAACCACCGACTACAAATTAGTTTACAGTGGGGCCTAGAACGACTCTAGGATTGCCTCCTTAAAGTAATAATAACAGTAAGGGTTTAGATAATCATGCTAAAACAACAAAAAATCATCACTAAAATATTAGATAGCTTCCGTTATAGTAAAATAACTCATTACCTGCCTCTTAAGTAAACTCTGCAAGAAGTGGTCACAAAAATACTGGGTCTACCTCTTAAGTTAGATAAAATACATCATTGAGCTAAGGAAATACTGTTAAACCGATTTAGAATAGAAGAACATCATCTTAATCAAACTTTCATGAGAAAAACTATATTAGGAATATGCTTTAGAATAGTGTTCTATCAAGCAATGAGGATAAAATAGACTTCTTAGTCTCTGAGATTGAGACAGCTAATACAAAGATATCAATGCTCTAGGATCATCTCTAAAACTTGGGAGGAAGTGCTCCACCAAATGTAAATTATGGAAACATGAATCTAGACATCTGGGTCAGTGAGAAAAAGCATCTACTCGATTAAATTTAGAATCTCAAAGAATAATCTTATAAAAGTCAATAGGAATCCATCAGCTTGAAAGATGAAAATTCTTAGTTAAGGGTGTTAGTAACCAGAAGAACTGAAGAAGCAAACCAGACCATTCTTAAACTTGCTTAGTAAAATTAAGAATTCAAGTCTAAAAATGAGGAATATTTGGTCTTAATTGAGTAGTTAAGCAATGAGATTATTAAGGCTTCTAATTAAAATCAGCAAATTTAGTAATAATATCAATAGGTTCAGCTATAAAATTAGTAGCTTATCTAAGTTATTTAAACAATGAATTAGAATCAAATGAGTATGAAGTCTAATCAGTTGATGTTGAATAACAATGAAGAATATGATAGACTTAGGCAAGAAAACATATAATTGGGTGCAGATCTGAAGGCTATGAATGTGAGATTTGAAGAAATGATCAAGGAAAAGAGTATACTCGAGCAATAAATAATGTAGTCATAGTTGAGTTTAGATAATCTAAATCAACTAAATTAATAGAAAGATGAAACAATTAAAAAACTTAAGAAGAAAATAGTGGGCTAATACATCAAAGAGAAAATTTGGAATAACTAAATTGGTTATGATGATGTAGGGGAAGTTGATCTTTAACAAGAATAGTAGCTAGATGATGGTCAAGAGGATTTTAATTTCAAATAAAACTAGAGAGACTTACAACTCAATACCATTAACCAATAGCAGCATGAACAGCATAAATTAAACATGATGAGCGCTCTTTTCTCACCTCTGTCTACAATTGCAAGCCAAAACAATAATCAAGATGACAATTTCAGCAGTATTAATGGAGACTTTTTGTCATCCTAAGCGAACTATAACTTAAATAGCAAGGGATTTAGCATTGGTAACACAACTCTTGGGAATAATAATGCAAATCAGAATAATAACAGAAGATTCTTTTAAACGAATGACTTCAGTTTAAATGCAGGCAAGCAATAGATGAAGTAGACATTCTAGCTATCATAGACATAGCAGCAGCAATAATAACAATATTGATGACTTTATAGTTAAATCTTTGATTAATCGTGCTTTCCTTAATACTTAACTTATTATTAAATTAATTCACAAACCAATCTATCTCAGTATTAATAACTTTTACATTCTAGTGTCAGTCATTACTTTTAGGCCCAGCCAAGGTATTTTTATTTAAGGGGATCTAAAATAAAACTTCTTAAACTTTCATAGTGCATGGCAGTGTAAATAAACATTGCTGGAGCGAATCCCTTGTAGAATGCTCTGGAGCCTTGCTGATTTTTTATATATACTAATGCATTAAACCAGTTTTTATAAGCTTCCCTTTATATTTAAGTCGCATGAAATCTACCATACTAGACTCTCATTCCAATTAAGAACAGTGGATGAGCAAATAAACAAGAAGTAAGGAATAATCCTAAGCTAACTTCAGGAGCATATTTATATCCGAATGAAGTCATGGACTCAGCAGCAATTATCGCACAGTACAAATAAGCCTAGCCTGCAAAAATAGGAGCAATACCAGAGTAGAGCATTCTATGTTTGTCATGCTTAATCATATCCCAAAGAGCACCTCTGAATTTCCTTATAGGGTAATCAAGACATTGCATTCGAACAATCATTATATTAATTGGATTCCATAAAGCAATTGTAGAAATCAAATAGTAATTGGCCAATGGATGGTTAACTTCTTCATCTGCTTTATATTAGAACTCAACATTGTTGAAAAAGAAATTTATACTATAGGGCACGAATCCAGCAAAATATGCTCCAATTCCTCTTAGCTTATACATGTTGCTCAAGTCTTATAACATTCTGAAATTTATAATCACTATTGATTATTAATTAAGCTTACCTCGCAGGTTTGTTGACCTCATTTCTTGAGATGATAGTATCTAAAATCCTATTCGTAGAAAGTACATGAATTGGATATATTGGTAGAGAATAATCATTATTTATCTGTATTTAAGCTACAACTTTAACCTCTTCTGTCACTTCATCAGACTTTTGATTTGCACCATCTTTTTAAGTCAAATCATCACCCATTACTTATTACTCTTTCTTCTCGCTCTCAATATGCTTTTTGTCCATTTAAATCAAATTTTATAATTTTCAATCTCTCTTGAGTTTTATAAATTAACTGTAAGGGGTTTTGGGGTTTTGGGG